ATTATAAAAGAAAACACTTTTAAAAACTAGGGTAACACAAAGGCACTGAGATGTGATTTCTCAGTCAGTAAAATGGAACTGCTGCGTGTGAGGATGAACTTTGTGGTGCCAGTTAATTAATGAAGGTGCCAGTTAATGAATGAAGTCAGGGTAAACTCCTGACGAGCCTGGCATGCCTGTGGCACTACAACACAAAATAACTCACACATGCAGGCTAGATGCAAAAGAGGGGAAAAAGAGAAAGTTTATTTCTGATTCTGCAATATACAGAAGTCTAAAGGTGACAGTGGATTGGAGGGTGAAATTGCTACTTCTCTAACTGCATTGGTTAAAATAACTAATTAATTCTCTCCTCTCACGAAGGAGAATGTAAAGCAATCATTGTTTATACGAACAGTATGTGAGAAATTGCAGCAGAAATAGGTAAACATCAGAAGGCATAGAAAACTTTCAGAAGAAGTTTAAACTTCTGAAAGAACAGGGTGGACACGCCCAGCCCGGGATGCAGGGCCAAATCCCAGATGAGGGGTGGGGTCGGGGCTGGCAGAGGAGCCCACCCTGCTGCAGCAGGGCCAGCTCAGGGCACTGCCCTGCCCTTCCCCGTGCCCCTGGGATGGGGACCCCAGGCTCCCCAGGCCATGGGACAGGGTCACACTGGGATTTGGGATCCCCCCGTGTCCCTGCACAGCCTGGGGGCTTCCCATGGGATGGAGATCCCAGGTCACAGCACGGGGTCACACTGGGGATTTGGGATTACCCCCGTGTCCCTGCATTCCTCAGGGGTTTCCCATGGGATGGGGATCCCAGGTCACAGCACATGGTCACACTGGGATTTGGGATTCCCCCCGTGTCCCTGCACTCCCCAGGGTTCCCTGGGATGGAGGATCCCAGGTCACAGCACGGGGTCACACTGGGGATTTGGGATCCCCCCGTGTCCCTGCACTCCCCAGGGTTTCCCTGGGATGGAGGATCCCAAACTCCCCCAGGTCACAGCACAGGGTCACACTGGGGATTTGGGATCCCCCCGTGTCCCTGCATTCCTCAGGGGCTTCCCATGGGATGGGGATCCCAGGTCACAGCACAGGGTCACACTGGGATTTGGGATTCCTCCCATGTCCCTGCATTCCTCAGGGGTTTCCCATGGGATGGGGATCCCAGGTCACAGCACAGGGTCACACTGGGATTTGGGATCCCCCCGTGTCCCTGCATTCCCCAGGGTTCCCTGGGATGGAGGATCCCAGGTCACAGCACAGGGTCACACTGGGATTTGGGATTACCCCCGTGTCCCTGCATTCCTCAGGGGTTTCCCTGGGATGGAGGATCCCAGGTCACAGCACAGGGTCACACTGGGATTTGGGATCCCCCCGTGTCCCTGCACTCCCCAGGGTTCCCTGGGCTGGGGCTCCCGAGTCGCCGCCGTCCCTCCGCCCGTGTCTCCCCGTGCAGCCCCAGCCTGCCCGCCCTGGAAGAAGTGGAAGAAGGCAGCAGCTCCATTCCAGCTCTGCTCAGTCACGGAGGGGCTCTGCCGAGCTCTGCCTTTGGCTTCTGAGCTGCAGGCAGGCAGAGCCCGCAGCCCTCACACACACCTGAGCCAGCACACACCTGAACCAGCACACGTGGGCCACTCACTGCCAGCAAAACTAAAGGCAAGAGCTCCACAGGAGGAGATTCTTGCTGAAGGATTAAGGACTCCACACTTAACGAGTTGCTACCCTGAGAATTATTGTTACTTTTTAGTTTGTTTGGTTTTTTTAAAGGGATAATGCTTCTAGATAATATTAATGTAAATTATAAGCGAAGGAAAAGCTTCACCAAATGATCCTCACACCCAACCAAAATCCAGATCACCACCTTTAGGGCAGCTGTCTTGTTTGGAGAGCTGGATTCAAAAAATCACAGTATAAAATAAGACATTTCATCTTGGTCTTTGAGTTAAACCTCTGAGCCAACATCCCCCATTTCCCTCCTGAGGTCAGGAGCAGACCCAGATTTCCATATTTTGTCTCAGACCACTCTGCTTCCCACCTCCCCTTTCCTTCATGGTGGAGAACATCTATTTTTATGGTTTGTACCAATGCACTTGGTACTTCTATGACATTTTCAACCTCTGCCTCTCAAAGTGCTTTCAAGGGTGGCTACAAGGCACCGCACAATTTAAGATGGAAAAAATCCTGGCAGCAGCTCAGAGACAGGTTCAGCTCTGCTCTGTTCAAATGAAGCCAGACCTTCCTTCTACCTGCTCTGAATTGCAAATACACCAAATTCCAGCTCCTTCTGGCTTAATATTCCCTTGTTTTCACTTGCATTTTCTGTTTAAAATAAGTGTAACGTGGTTCCCGCTTTGGTAATGATCCCTCAAATATTAAATAAATGGCAGCAAAGGCTCTCTGTTATTTTGTGCCTGTTCCATCGCTCCTGCAGGAATTTAGAACCTCCTGACAACACTCATCATATGGGGAGTACGTTCAGGAGGAAATTTCACGGAAGGAAGGTAACAGTTGTGGGATTCAAGCAACAGAAACTCGGCATTTCCAGGCAGTGAGGAATATCTTTACGTGTAGGGTACACCCGGAGTTTTGTCTCTCTTTCATCACAATCAGAACAGAGCAGCACCAAAGCTCACCACGAACGCCTGTGGATCCCCCAGCACACAGCTGAACAGCCCAGAGCAGTGAGAGCCACCAAGGCACAGCTAGAAACTCCTCCCCAGCAGCTCCTGGGTCCCTTTTGGGGAGGCTCCACGCTGAGCACCCACACTTGCTCCTCGAGTGTCCTGCAGGAGATTCCCCTGCTCTGCACGGCGAGGGGCAGCCCCAGCTGGGACGGAGCCGTGGCACATCCCAGGTCTGCAGCTCAGGCTGCTCCTGGGACTGTGCTGGGCATCTCTGCCAGGCTGGCAGTGCCCCGGGCAGGGAGATGTGGCTGCCCTGGAACAGGGAGATGGGGCTGCCCTGGAACAGGGAGATGGGGCTGCCCTGGGGCAGGGAGATGTGGCTGCCCTGGAACAGGGAGCTGGGGCTGCCCTGGAACAAGGAGATGGGGCTGCCCTGGGGCAGGGAGATGGGGCTGCCCTGGGAAAAGGGAGCTGGGACTGCCCTGGGAACAGGGAGATGGGACTGCCCTGGAACAAGGAGATGGGGCTGCCCTGGGGCAGGGAGATGGGGCTGCCCTGGGAAAAGGGAGCTGGGACTGCCCTGGAACAGGGAGCTGGGACTGCCCTGGAGCAGGGAGATGGGGCTGCCCTGGGGCAGGGAGATGGGACTGCCCTGGGAAAAGGGAGATGGGGCTGCCCTGGAACAGGGAG